CTTTGTTACAATCACTTGTTTACTATATATTCTCAATGCTCTGCTATTTTGAAGCATTGATTGATAAAGACGAAAGTACCTTCGACAAAACATCGCAAGTTATTCATTAAAGTAATTGTTATCCATAAAATTGTGTCCAGTTATAAATATAGTATGTATTCATGGATTAATTCAATATACATCAGCTGAGAACCATCAAGTCTATAATTAATTCATTTTCTGTGTTCATACTAAAATGTGTTGTGTTTTTCAAGGAACAGAGGTGGATTAATGATTCAGAAATGATGAGAAAAGAAATTTTACCTCAGTTGATCTGATGGTACCAGCTGGTCTAGAAGCTCGATCTATAGCTGTACGTAGATTCTGTCTATGATCATGTATATTGTGACAACTGTCTCTAAATAGCTGTTCTATGGTTGGAGTGGGAGCACTTCTTACACTATGAAATCCTGATGATTGAGACAAGGACATAGGTCTTGATCCATCTTCAACACTTCCAGTATCCATCATTTCTGGATTGCTGGATTCTTTTGGTCTACTTAATTCCATAATGTCATTGTGTTCCAGCAAGAGTTTGGCATCAATAAAAGCTGATTTGTGGGATGGTGATTGTGAACATGTGATCATTTTCATTTCAATATCTTTAGAGTTATTGTCCCTGACATCAATTTGATTTGTGCAATTATGAGTGAACTTGTCTGGCTGTAAATAAACATGGTCTGTTTCATCTGAAAGAAAGGAAACATGAAAATAGACTAAAAGCAGGAGTTCTGGGCAAGGGGCACATGCCGGTATAGATGAAGACTTGCATTGTGGAATTTGACTATCTTCTGCTTATGATACCTACAAATTTGGAGAAACATACCATTGTAGGATGTTTTAGCTTGTCAATTACAGGACAACATCTGCCAGTCCTAAGAGATTTTTCAGACCTGACATGGATGGTCACTGCTAAACTTGGCTGGTTGCTGACCAAGTAGAATGATCATTGCGAGATTTTGTTGGTTATTGGTCAACATGCTTGATTCCTGAACAACTTGCTTGATTCCTGAACAACTTGCTTAATTCCTGAACAACTTGCTTGATTCCTGAACAACTTGCTTGATTCCTGAATAACTTGCTTAATATCTGAACAACTTGCTTGATTCCTGAACAACTTGCTCAATTTCTGAACAACTTGCTTAATTTCTGAACAACTTGCTTGATTCCTGAACAACTTGCTTAATTCCTGAACAACTTGCTTAATTTCTGAACAACTTGCTTCATTCCTTCACAACTTGCTTAATTCCTGAACAACTTGCTTGATAACTCCCTGACCACAAGATGATCAGTGCAAGACCACCAAGACTTTCTTGGTCAGTAATCTGATAACCGTAATATTTTTGGTCAATGCTTGACATGCATAATCACTTGACAGCTGAAAATGAAGCATTTAAATCACCTGCAGGTTTATTTTGTAAAAAACTTTGAAGAAGAGATCTCTGTACACTACCGTTGTTAGACAATGTTGATGTTTTTGATGTTATTCTTGCTGACATTGGTGTTGCTGTTGTTGAGGCACTACAATATTAATAAAACAGACTGTTATAAGCTATTTGAATTTACAAAAAATCCCAAACTGACAGACCCAAACTAAATGAAAATCATCAAAAAATAAAATGAAATGGAGTTTGAATCCTCCAAATTGGGCTAACAGAGACTGCTAACACCTCGCAGGGTCAAATGAGTCAATTTTTTTCCATATCAACATCAATTTTTCTTCATAGTTTTTGCAAAAACTACTAAAAGATGAATTGTCTTTTTTTGATACTCTGTGATATATAGAAAAGATATCTATTGAAAAAAGAAAACAAATTCCTAGTTTGAGATATTTTTGAACGAATTATGTGATTTTCGTACATTTCTAGAACTATTAACATATATATTCAAGATCCATATCAACCACCCAAATTGTGCACCTGTCCCTGTTCAAAAATCAAATAGAATAAAAAAAGGACTCACTTGTGTTTCATAAGTTTCTTCAAATCATCACACATTTCTTGTACATATTCTGAAGAATAAAATTCCGAGAAATAAACATCAAATAATAAATGTGATTCATTTTGAACATACATTTTGAGTCAAAATTTCAGATTTGATCTAAATGTATGGGTTGCTATTTAAATTTGTGTAATTATTTCAGTAGACAAAATATAATATATGGCATATTAAATATTTTCTTTCTGCAAGTTTATCTATTTATGAAAAAGAAAAGTTTGCAAGGAAAATGTACAGATACATACCTTTCTTTGAAACAGTATTCTTTTTCCTAATGGAGTTCATTATTAAATTATATACATCTTTTAAAGGTGGTGACTGAAAAAGATGGACTTAATAAAACTCAATGGCCCACGTTTCTTTCTCGGATTCTCTTAACATCCCTCATTATCCTATAAGCTTATTCATAATTAATATTTTGGTAAAGACAAGTAAAATTATTCTTGCACTCTAGTGCTGACACGATATATCGATGAATCAATGTATCATGATATAACATGCCAATATACGCTTATTGTATTGCTAGGTCATGTATCAATACTTGACGATACCTCATTCCATGAAAAATAAATAAAAATACAAAATAAGTTGGCGAGTGGAATTCACTGACTTGACTTGATATTGTTGGTAACTATTAATAAGACAGTTGACTCGTATTGTGGCTCTTGTATCGCAATACATATTGCATTGTGACTCTAGTATCACAATAAATATATCGTATCATGACATTATTGGCATCATCCAGAACTAATGCACACCTATGTGCGATTCAAAACGACAGGAGCAGACCACTTTACTTTTGGGTAGAGTAAAATCATAATCAACTCTTTACAACTACCTACAAAAAAATAAAGTGAACTGTTGATATTTTGGATCTGACTCAGATTTGTGTAAATATCTTTGATTATATACCTACCTTTTGTTCCCAACCATCATAATGTGTAGCTGGTGGTCCAGTAGAACATCCAGTAGATATACCAGTAGTAGTCGTTGATTTTACACTGTAAATAGAAATGAAGTAGAGTTATATTCTCTTCTGTTCTACTCCAGATTGGGGAGCAAGTTAACTTGCTTGTTAACCTAAAGGTCCAGGGTTTAATCCTGGCATAGGTCGAGATAATACCTTTGGATTTTTCAACCTGGTTCCCCCCGTCAGTGATGCAGGTAAGAGGAACTGACATAGAAAAAGCATTGTTCAATGGGACAATAAACCGAGGCCCCATGTGCTACAGGCTATGCGCATTAAAGATCCCTTGACAGTTGGAAATCAGAAAAAAGCAAGAGCTGTTCTGGCAAAATTACCCTCATTGCACCCTGCATGGTGGTGTCCCTCTTCATTAGCCAACATGGTGCAGAAAAGTAGGACATAAAACTCCATTCATTTTCATTTTTTTCGGTTCCAGAGCGAACTAAAGAGGACAATGCAGTGTACAATGGTGCAAATTTTGTCATAAAACTTCTCTTTCAAATCATGACAGGCTCTTGGGTCAGTGAGCATAAACTCATGGATCAAGGGAGCGTATAGAAAAAGAGGACTTTTCTTATTATATATATTATTTGTATTTGAAACATGCGTCTGCAGCAAGCACAAAAGATGAACTCTTGTAGAATAACATAGAAACGAATTTTGAACTACATTCAGTAGTTCAGAATAATCTTATCCTAACTAAACTGAAAAACTCTCTGTATGTATTCTACCTATGAGTATGTTGATGTGCTGGGGTAGTAGAATTATGGTGTGATAAAGGTGTTTTATGACTAGGTCTAGGTAGTGCAGGTAACTCTATAGATGATAAACTTTTAGCTGGTTTATTCTGTGGCACAGGAAGCACCTCATCTCTGTAAAAACAACATTAGCTCATGTCTAAAATTCCTGCAAAGATCAATGCCAAGAATTTTGGCCAAGTACCAGCTGGTAGAAAGGATCGAGCTAAGAATTTTTTCCATTTAAAAAAAAGTCAAAATAAAATTTCTAACTTTAGGTCATAAAAACATAAGGTCCAGTGATTATACATCTGAAATAGACTCACTGTCCTCCCAGAAAATTCACTTGAAAATTGCCTACTTTTCGGCCTGAAAATTCCCCTCTCTAAAATCGTGTTTACAAATATCAACTTTTCAATCAAGGCAATCAGAAACTCTCAGTAGTATTTTTATATTGATATTTAAATTCATATGAAAATGTTTGCCAAAATTGAGTGATGTCAGAGAGTAAAAGAACATGAGTTATCCTTGTAAAATATAGTTGTTTCTTCTAACAAATATAGTTGTTTCTTCTAACAATGGTTTTGATTGGTTAGTATAGCTCAAGATACAATCAAATCAGAACAACCTATTAAGATTATGAGTAAGAAAAGTAACTAGAAATATTTTAATGAAATGTCTCCTTGAAAATCTTGATTTACCTTGGAGAAATAATTTCATCAATATCCATCTTGGAAGATCTGTCTTCTTCCTTATCACTGTGAATAATCTTCCATATATCATCTTCTGTTTTCTTACGTATTGAATCTGTTACTATTATAGGTTCTGAACATAAAACAAATAGACAACAACATCAAATTATGATACTTGTACAACAAAAACTATGTGATTTTAAACAGTTTGGATGTGATCACAGACTTGGTTACACACAAGTTTTTTGTTTTTTTATATTTTTTGGTAATCATACCTTAGCCTCAGAAACGGGAATTTTTTAGCTAAGCTTCAGCTTTTTCATATATGGATTTTCATTTCATATAATGAAATTATATTATATTATTCAAACTAACTGTACAAACAATACTCTCACTAGAGGTTAAGCCTGCATGCCTATGCCTGTGCTTTCGTAACATTACTGCCAATGTTACAACCTAAAATTCCTGAAGTTCAGATTGTCTACAATTAAAAATAAACTTATGACAACCTACCTCTTCCAATAATTGAAGATTTCTTACCATGACTAAATAACCCTAATTTTTTCTGAAATGCAATTATTTTCAGTTATTACAGGGGAAACATCATTTCACAAGGTAAACTTGATAGATTTCAATGATCTTTTCCATCTAATTGAGCCATTGAGATCAAAATTCCAACTTTGTTACTCACTGATCTGATACAGGACTGAAGCCTACTGACAGCTACGAAGATAAGCACCTACCGTACCCCATTTTCTTTAGAAATTCAACTAAAGTATACAATTTGGAAAAGACACTAAATTACAAGCAACCAGTTTTTTGTCTGGAGAAAGTGAATCTACCTAGTTGGGAATTTGTGACATTTCCATATTAGGAGTTATTTTTATAGGGTTACTGATAGACATAGCCATGGCTGTGAATGGACACTTACAGTTAATCTGGTGTTACTAATTTTACTTAATGAGGTATCATTTTCTTTACTATGTTCACCAGCCTGAAATAGAGAAAACAATTTTCAACCACAATCTTTTCAATCAAGTAGATCTCTTAGACCTTTATTAATTCTATTGAAACCATAAGAATAATAACTGAATTCCAACTCTCAACAATTTTCCCTATGAACAAATTCTTGCCTCATTTGTCTCATGTTTCTTAAAAGATCTTAGAATCAAACTCTGTTACAAAATGTACAAATATCAAACTTAGAACAAAAATTCAACACATGATTTTTTGAAAAAAGAATATTGAGCTTTATGTACTTTTTTCTTTAAATAGACTGAGCTCATGGAGACTTTAAGCTTGTATACAGTATTTATTTACTTACATTAGTTAATGTTTGAGTTGTTGAGATATGTTTTGCTACATTCGATTTACTCTCAGTCTGAAAAATATCAATGTTAATATAAATCTAGTTGAACAGACCTTCAAATGTTTTAAGACATCTGTAACAAGTGCATGAATCATGCAGATATTGCCATATAAATCACACCTAAACTTATAACTCATCTTTATTTGGGGAGATAACTCTATCAATTTTAATTAATTCTCTTTAATTTTTGTATAATCCATGGAGTGTGATAACTATTTTCCTATATTTCACATTAAAGAGACTGTGAAAAGGTTTTCTTAATTATGTATGTGTATCAGGGGCACTGAAAGCATCCAATTTTCAGTCAGATGTCTGTGGTTCCTGCAATTCCACTAAAACTAAGTGTTTATCTTAATTCTTAATTGCAAAATATAGGCTTTATCACATAAGGCCCTCCGCAATAAATGATATGGTGGAAATTGATGCTGATACGCATAAAAAAAAAAAGAAAACCACTTAACAATCCCTTTAAAATCATGTCATTAATATGTTTCTATTGACAAATCCAACAACTTTTGTGCCTACTTGAAAAATATGATTTTGCAGTAAACCACCTTTACATATTATTGTTTGATTTATCACAGGCCAAAAGAAGGGATAAAAGCCAACAAAACTGCAAAAAAAATGACAAGTTGCACAGTGGCAGTTTTCTATTGTCAAAATTAAATGTGTTCCCTCCACATACCTTATTAGATTTAGATAGTCCAGAAGTTTTGTTTCTCTCTGCTCTGGTTTTTCTTTTCTTTCTTCTCGCAGTTTGACTATCTTCAGGACTAGGTAAATTAACACTGGGAGAAATCACGATAACTTCATCTTTTTCATCTGAACTTGAAGAATCCAAGGCTCTCCTTTGAATTTTACTTTTTGGCTTATTCTTATTTGTGTTGCCTGACAGAGATGAGTCTTGGAGGTTTTCTTTTCCTGTAGATTTGTGTCTCCTTCTAGATCGCAAAGAAAAACTGTAGACTGGTGAAACAACATTTTGGGTTTGGTCACATTTGTCATACCTTGACTCAAAGGCTATAATTAAAAAATTAAGTGAATGCATCAGTTAGCTATAAAAAAGTAGAAGCTAGGAGATATTCAGTATCCACTTTATAGTTAAATACGGTACAAACTTACATGCACATTGTAACCTATCAGAGATAGTTAATTCAACTGGATTTATAAGTAAACCGATAATCGAACTATCACATGCCAACTGAGATTAGAACCAACAACCACCATTTGTTCAGCAAAACCAAGCTCCAATTGACTGTGTTACAGATTCCCATATGCATATTAGTTTAATAGTCAAGTTTTTTTGTTAAAACAAATATAAACCTTTCAAAATACGTTCTCTAACATCATTTTTTTGAGTTTTAGTAATACCGCTAGTAGCAGAAATTGGTTTCTTATAATATCTTTTGTTTGGTCTACTCATAAATGTAGTTTGGCAAAATCAAAATATTTCTTAGGAAAGATATATTCTTTTGACATCCATTTGACTTCGTAAGTTCCTACAAAATAATCATCACAGACATTATTAGATTTAACATCTTATATTTATTTTTATGTTAGATAGGCTATGTTCACCCACCACAGCCACAGCTAAAGTCTAGCAATTAGACACTGCATTAGGCTTAGTACTAGGCCCAGTATACTACATAAATGTCTACTTCAGGTTCTACGCAAAGAATTCGGGTTTCTATCAGTGACATAAGTGTTACCCCACAAAAAAAACAAAAAAAAAACACAACGACTGACGTAAAAAAGTCCATTTTACTTTTTTCAGTAGCTACAACAGCAGGCTGTGTGCAGATACTCACGCATTAAATTCTGAATACTTGAATAGAGGCCACTGTGGATCAAAAAAGGCTAGTGATAAAAGGCAACATAAAGGCTAAAGCCTTAGAAAATAATTGTTAGTTTCAGTTTTAAAGGCTAAAGCGTCAAAAATATTTCGGACGTAAGTCACGCCAGTGATAAGGGAGCTAATCAATTGTGTTGTTTCGAACTTTATAAAATATCATAATTATTTCCATACCACAAGATAGCGATATGTATAAAATAGAAAATAGAATGTTTGCAGATTTCGCACTCCATGTTGAAACATTTTGGTGTAAAATATTGAATAATACGAAAGCAAATTTCATTTGCAAATTAACTGGACATGCGTTGTCTCTTAGCAACACCACGCGACAATCGGCGGAAGTTACAATAACAATAATAACAACAACAGCCAGCATTCTAGATTTTCACTTTTTGTTAGTTTTTTTTATCACTTTATAGCTTTCGGACAGTAAAATGGCTTTCACAAGGATATCTGCAAAATATCCACCACAAATTGATCCAACTAGAACACCTCTGGCATATGGCGCACGAGCTATTCCTCGATTGGTAAGTTGTTAATGTTGAGATTTGTTTTTTTTGGTGTCTGAGATTTGACAACTCGCTAGAACCATTATCTTTTGTCTAGCCTTGAAAATATATCTTAAACCTCTTTTTGAAAATAAGCCAAAACTCTCAAGCTAGACATGAAACATGGAATTGAAATGAGTCAAGCAACCCATATATTTTTGCTCTATGATTTAAATTTCCATTGGAAATTTTAGTGAAAAAAAAAGAGAAAATTTAACTGCTGAGTCTGTGTCTACAATTCTGTCTGAAACACATTTTTTGTAGCCTGTGTGAGCTTATTTTCTAATTATAAACTTTGACAGTGCATTCATCTAATCCAAAGTGCTTTCGAGTACACTAAATTGGCTCTGGAAGCCCAGTCTTACCATGCAAAGTAATTTTTATACTTAAAACATCATCAACCTACGTGACATTCGGCCATGGTTACTCTTCTGAAATGACTGGATGGCAGATTGTGATCTTTCGTTCCAAGTGGAATATGGGACAAAAAGATTAGGAGTTGACGTAAGGATTTCCACGATCCAAGCTATAAGTCTGTTTTTCTTTTACAGAATCGAGAGTTAAATGATGAAACATTATTAACAAGACAAAGAGCTGTGATGTCATTATGTGATTATTTACATGACCCAGAACATATTGCTACAGCTTTAAGAGAAGGTGTGTTTCTAATTATTTTACAGTTTTACACCCATCTTTTTTTGCTCCTTATTGGGTTAATGAAGATGGGCAATACTATGCAGTGTGTAATGAGGGAAGTTTGAAAAATTCCATTGAAAATATCTCAAACTAGGAAATTCTTTTCTTAGTTCTATAGATGTCTTTTCTATATGGCAGTGTCTCAAGAAAAGACAACTCGACTTTTTAACTTTCAAACACAAATAATTCTAGACATACTTGAAGACTAAAATTTCGATGGTGAGGTGTGAACATTAGCCTATTACTGATTGGCTTAACTTAAAACTCGCATTTCTGAGACTAGAATACAATGGTGAACCTTTTCCTATACATATCATGTGTTGTGTTGATTAGTTTTCAATTAGAGTTTATGATATTGATATTGTAGGTATTGTAGAAAGTTTAAAGAACTTATTATCTGATCCTGATATTACAGTAAGACAAAAATCTACAGAATGTCTCTTTGTTATTGCTGGTAGGTATAGTTAAACAATGTAGCTCACATCAAACTTTCAATTTATTCCAGTCAATTTGTAAAGTTGTGTTTTTTAAAATAGCCAAAAAGAGCCATACAGTTGGCAGGAGTGAATTGGTGCTTTTAGGAATCCATGAGCAAGGGTGTCTGGGGGTCCTCCCCCACATAATTTTGAAACCAGGAGAATGCAATTCTGGATATTTTGAGGTGCCAAAATCCTCATCAAAAGAAAACCAGATGATAAATCATCCACTGCTGAACTAAAAGAAGGTTTTGAGCTTGGTCAATTGCTGAGGCTTAATTATCATTTTCCGGGGTCCAGCCACCCTAGCATCGCAAATACATTGTAAATACATTGTAAATACATTGTAAATACATTGTAAATACATTGTAAATACATTGCAAAGAAGTGCTTTCTATGGAAAATTGTACAATTTGTTATATGCTTACATTTCATCTATAGAGAACGTAGTATTCAGAGTTTGAATATACCAGTATCTATGTTTTTGGCAAGCTTGAAGCATATATTGAACAATGCAATTTAAATTTATTTTTTTCTCCAACTTAATTGACAGGCAGTAAGTTTATTAATTTTTCGTTTTTCAGGTCATGCAATTGGTAGAGATGCATTTATAGATCATGAAATAATCAAACCTGTGTCTAATTTATTTAATGATTCAGAAGATATTGCCAGACAAAATGCTCATAAAGCTCTTGAAATGATTGCAGAAACTCCCAATGGTAAGATACCTTCCTAAATTAAGCCATGCACATTGAATATGTCCTCAAGTGTGCTGCAACACATCATTGGTCTGCATAGACAACTACACATCTTTAGAGATATTTATAATTCTGCCACACACTGAACAATATTCCTTGATTTTTAAATTCAAACAAACAACATAATAGGGATATCTTTAGGGTTGTTTTGAGAATGGGAGCAATATTTTCTATTGATTATTGTAGGTGCTGAAGGAATTGTGACTTGTGAATTAATACCAACTTTAGTTGACAAGCTAAAAACAGAACATGATGAAATCAAGGTACGACATCCAAATACTTTATTTTTTTACACTTGATATAAAATGTCTCTTAATCAGATGATTTTGCTGTTTCAATTATATTATCTTGAAAACTAATCTCAGCTAATCATGTGATATTCTGGCACATAATTTAACCTCACTGTTGGTCAAATGATTTTAATGCTAATGCAATGAAGAAAATTATACCTGGACAATGGGATTATCTAAATTTCTTGTTTTTATCAATGGATATCAGTCTCATCCAAACAGCTAGACAGATCCACCAACCTGTGTCACTGTCAGATGCAAGAAGCATATATCTAGGTGTGAGTGCAAGACAGAAGTTATTTATAGTAATATTTACCCCTATTTCAGGTATTAATATTAGATACACTACATTACTGTATGAGAGTAGATACTAGTAAAGCTTTATCTAGTGGTGCCATGAAAATATTTACATCTTTATTAAGTCATGAGTTACCTATAATCAGATCTAAGGCAGCCCGAGATATCATGGATCTCAGGTAAGTTTTTTCCACAAGTCATCTGACCAAGACTTGTGTTCCTTGTAATATAGTGATTTGCTTTTCTGACTTATGTTTGTTCTAAAGAAATTGATGAGCTTAATGCTAGTATCACATAAAGCCCTGCGATTAGTGACATCAAACACGTGGTATGAGAGGAATTGCAGGAACCACAGACATCTGACTGAAAATTGATATGGTGCAAATGGATGCTATCAGTGTCCCCGATACACATAAAAAATTTAGAAAACCTCTTTACCATCCCTTTAAGGAAAGCACAGCAATGAATTCTGGGCATCAGCCAAAAAAAATAGAACAATACGTTCATTGATTATAGTATGTTTTTCATAACAGTGTACCATTAGCTGGTAAAGATAAAGCAGTAGAAGAGGGTAGTGTACCAGTATTAGTTGATTTATTAGTTAAAGATGATTCACCTGATGTTATAGCTAATTCTGCAGGTGCTATTATGACGTAAGATAATTTGTTTCATTAAATCCATTCTGAAGATGGATGTTATAGAAATATAGGTTAAAATTTTCAATATTATACTATGGCAGAGAGCAAACAAAGCAAACTCTCCTCATAGGAGGGAGAAATCAACTACAAGAATATTATACTAGTATCAATACATTTGACTGAAACACTGACTGGACCTCATCTGCCAGCATGTTTTAAAAACACAATTATATAGACCGTATATTTTGCAAAATAGGATTTTTGGCTTTTAGGCAAAGTGAGAAAACTCACTGAACATGAGCAAGAAGTCAATGACGAGAATATCATACCCTTCGAAGACCCTCAGTTAATAACTAATTGATTTGATCTTCTGGCATATTAAATATAAACCAAATTTTTGATGGCATATGTGTTAAATATATTTCCAAAATTGAATAAGCGTATTCTTCCAATAAATAGCTATCTATTTTTTGTATCTGGTTAGAATAAAGTAGCCATTGTGATAATTGTCAGGAAATTAAGAAATGTTTTTTTTCCCACAGCATTACCATAACAACCAAAGGAAAATATACAGCAATTAATTGTAATGCTATAGAAGCTTTAGTTAAATTGGTTAATCATCAGTCTAGTGAAGTCAGACTAAATGCCTTAAAAGTAAGTTGAAAGTACTTAGATATGTCCTACAACATTTTATCTTGGCACTGTTTTCTTGAAACAATCTTAGTGCTAGGACATCCTAAAAAATAGTGTTAGAATTGGTGACCCTAGGAAATCCTAGCTCTAAGATTGTTTGGACGCCATTTTGATATTTCCGTTTCCATACCTTTTGATTGAGGCCAGAATTGGAAAACTTGGAACCTGTCCATGACTCTCCTATCAAGCGCCAATTTTGCCATGCACACTGTCTCACTGTATTGAATTAATATTTTCAGGCTCTTACATGTTTATCAGAAGCTCCAGAAGGAAGAGATGTTTTATTATTATTTGTAGATTCAGTGAGTAATTCATTAGCTTTTAGTTATCTCTTTCACATGCTGATCCAGAATTGACTTGACGACGCTTGCTTTGTTACGTCAATCAAATGCCAACTGTGGCTTCAATTCTCAATTGGCATGTGAAAGTCTGATGACCTTGAATAAGACATCTTCACTCATAATTCCAGTCGACCCAGCTGTAATTGGGTAGGGATACAGGGAAGAGGTTTGGCCTCAGACCAACTGGCAGAAAGGATCCTTAACTCTGAATCTAAGCTGGGAAATATAGTTGTTTCTTTCTTTTGCTTTTGGATAAATGTGGCCACTGACAGTCATTGCCCAACAAATTTTAAAAATACAAGATTGAGTGCTGAAGGTATCTATCTCAGTTATGTTCCTTTCTTAGCTTATATTTTCTTTGTGATTACAGATTAAGGAAAGAACTGAAGACAGCGTACCAGCAGTGGTGAATGCAGCTAAAATAGCAGTAAAAGTAATTACATGGAAACCTTAAAGTGACTTAAACAACCATTATAAAACATACATGTCTGTGATATTTTTATGTTGGAACTCTTCTTTTTGGAGGGGGAAAAGTACATGACAGTTTCTGTTGGGAATCATCAGGGGACAGAAGCTTCATCAAATCTATTTGGAATTATCAGACAGTGTTGAATATTATATGTTGGAACTCTTTTGTTTGGAGGGGGAAAAGTACATTACCAGTTTCTGTTGGGAATCATCAGGAGATAATAAGTTCATCGAATATATTTTAAAATTTCATTGGCTTTGTGTAGTGTCTGTTAATTTATTTAAACTTTGTGTACATTCTGATCTTGCTATACCCCTGTCAGTCTTTGAGGTTTGGTTTCCACAATTCAGAAACTGAATAATTTATATGCTCTTTATTATGATTCTGAGAAATTTGAGGGCTTTTTTGACAAAAAGGCCTCAAAATACTGAACTCTTTATCTGTGTTTTCTTTACGTGTTTTGTTAATGTCCTAACTGTGCCTAAATATTTACATGCTTTGCTTGAACTAGCCTCCCAAAGTCGAAATAGTTTTGTTAACTGTTGTCAAATATCAGTATAAAGAATATTCAGCCTTTCAATGTGATAATATAACTTTTGTATGCCTTAGTAATGTTTTGTATAAAATGACATTTTACTTGTAGCCAAAAAATGTTTTTAATACTTGTTATTGTAATTATATTTAAATGTGTCTATTTCTACCTCTAATAGAAAAAAACTTGTGATTTAAAATGGTGTTTTTCTATATAATTTCTCATAATGAAGTGCTATGCACTTTGTTCAGTTGCCATTTTAGCAAAGTGGCCAAAATAACCTATCCGACAGATTTCCAACCAACAAAATTTATTCAATATACATTTAAAATTCATTACTCTTTTTAGGGCATTTGAATTGTATGAAGATATCATACCTATGAGCTCATCGTTAAGATAATTTTTTTCAACTCTGATGAGCTAAAGAAAGAAACAAATAGGTATAATGGACAATTTTATTGTATCATTTTAAAGCTGATATCATTCAAACAAAACAGGAGTGATAATATATGATATACATAAATACTACAATAATATACATACTGAACACAAAAACATAATAGCTTTAACACTTAACACAACTTAATATTTCATTATAATAACTACACAAATTATTGCTTAAAGGTAAACTACCTCTTAAGATGAACAAAAAACTGAAATTTTTAAACTTGATTAAAATGAGTCTTTGTTCATCAGTGGACTTATCTGATGACAGAATCCCTCTATAATCCAATTAATCTATAAAATTAAATAATAATTTTGATGCTTAGAAGCTTTTTTCAATAATTATGTAGTTTAATGGATATATCGTCTTATATAGAGATTCTATTCTTTAGTCATGGTTCCTGGTAAGTCTAACTGATGAATATATACACTTGTTGACCAAGTTTGAAACTTTCAATGTCTATTCGAAGAGGTATCATTTTAAATATTGGTATTCTTAATTGTAATAAACATTTTGGCATATATTTGAAAATGAACTAGAGCCAATGCTTACCTTTGGCCAATTTCTTGAAAAGTTGAAATGATTTTGGTGTTCTCTTAAATTAAGTTATATAAACCAATCAAATTAATGTATGATATGAATGTGCAGCAGACAACAGTAGGCCGATTGGAGATTCAATGATTTACACTTAGCAAATATGATAATCAAAGCATAAAAAATGCTCCCTATGCCATTTCCATTACATTGCAAAAAAAAAAATATAAGCAAAACTTAAAAATGGTAGAATTCCTGAGAGAAAGGCATTTTAAAGACTTGTGATACATAACAGTTTGATTTATTTTTTTTGCAAAAATAACCAAAATCATAATATCTTTATATTCAAAGTCAATTTTTTGATAATGTTCTTTCTTGAGTACGAGCAGAAATTTGAGGAAATAGCAATGCTTTTATGCATTAACTGCTTACCTAAAATGATAATGGACACACATATGAAATGAAAAGCTTTACCCTGTGCCCTCTTTAAGAGACTGTTTTCAGACAAAACTAGTTTATACATGATTTCAGTTGACATGTATAAATAGCTATACATGATTTCAGTTGACATGTATAAATACCGACACATGATTTCAGTTGACATGTATAAATAGCTACACATGATTTCAGTTGACATGTATAAATAGCTATACATGATTTCAGTTGACATGTATAAATAGCTATATATGATTTCAGTTGACATGTAGAAATAGCTATACATGATTTCAGCTGACATGTATAAATAGCTATGCATGATTTTAGTTGACATGTATAAATAGCTATGCATGACATGTATAAATACCTACACATGATTTCAGTTGACATGTATAAATAGCTACACATGATTTCAGTTGACATGTATAAATAGCTATACATGATTTCAGTTGACATGTATAAATAGCTATATATGATTTCAGTTGACATGTAGAAATAGCTATACATGATTTCAGCTGACATGTATAAATAGCTATGCATGATTTTAGTTGACATGTATAAATAGCTATGCATGATTTTAGTTGACATGTATAAATAGCTATACATGATTTCAGTTGACATGTATAAATAGCTATACATGATTTCAGTTGACATGTATAAATACCTACACATGATTTCAGTTGACATGTATAAATAGCTACACATGCTTTCAGTTGACATGTATAAATAGCTATATAGATTTCAGTTGACATGTACAAATAGCTATACATGATTTCAGTTGACATGTATATTGTAAAATCAAAAGGGATATATATTATTTATGATAATTCTATATATATATAGATAAGATATAAAAACTCTAAATAGCACTATTTATAATGATTCATTCATCCATCACTCTATCTTACAGGAATACAGTCATCTTAGTATTTGCTTTTTCAGTTGATTGATCTCAATTTCAGCTATCCATAGAGAACGGACATGCTGCATCTGGTTAATCTATAATTCAAGAAAATCTTACAATAGTTTAAATATCCATAACGTAAATGTACCATACCATATCATACCATACCATACCATACCATACCATACCATACCATACCATCAAAATATGTTGACAACAACTCAAACTTATTGAAATTGATAATAAAGTTGTGTATGAATGATACTTAAGTGTCATGATTTTTTTTTACAAAACAAAACCTCCATTTCTCTATGAAAAGTGTAGCTAACAGCTGAAATTGAGCGTACATGGAAAAGCTAAATTTAGATGACTGTACCCCCTTTTTATCACACAATAAAACGTAAAACAAAAATAACACATAAACACATGATGTCCTTATACAACAAAGTGGTCATATTGGCCATTTTATAACTCATATATTGAAATACTTAAAATAAATCTTTCCTTTAAGTATTTCATATGAAAGCCATATACATGTACATAAAAAGAAATTTTCATTTACCAAAAAACAATTGTAATGATTGCATTTTATACTAGAATTGCATAGAGGGGAAAAAAAAACCAAACAGCTGAAATTCAAGGAAAAACACAACTTAAATAAACACTTAAAGGGATTGTAAAGAGGTTCTCTAAATCTTTTATGTGTATCAGGGACACTGATAGCTTCAATTTGTACCATTCCAATTTTCAATCAGACGTCTGCTGTTCTTACAATTCAAAGAGCTTGATGATGTCACTAATCACAAAATATGCTTTAACTCGATTAGTGATGTCATAAGACGCTGAATTTAAGTGGAATTGCATGAACCACAGATATCTGATTTAAATTTAGAACGATGTAAATTGATGCTATCAGTAATACTGATACACATAAAAAAATTGAGAAAACCTCTTTACAATCCCTTTAAGTAATAAAGTTTGCTTGTTGGGATAATGGTATTAACTACACTATGAAATTTAGATCTATTCCACTTTAAAAATTAATGTATACCTGAAAAATTGCAAAACGAACTATGCACCTTTTACACACAAACAAAAAATTACATTTAAACATCAAAAACATATACAAACAGAAGTTGATGATAATAGACAAAGAGAAAGGCACTGGCTTTGGATCATTGCATTTAGAAAAGTATAAATAATAAAAATCTAACATGTTTCAGTTCTCATCTGCCATTGCTATGTTTTAAAAGTAATTTTTGGTAAAAAAAACTGTAAAAGTAACAATAAAATAGACACGCCAAGTAATTATGTTATATATAAGTATAAATAAAATAACACAATATGAGAATTTTCTGTTGAAGGCTCAATTCTAGGTGATCAAAAACACTTCACTTCAAGCCATTTTAAAAAATGATGTTATGCGTTAACAAACTTTCTGTTGAACTTCAAGCTAAGGTTTTGAAAAATGCCAGCAATTACTATGATGCGCAATATTTCTGTTGAAGGCTCAATTTTAGGTGATCAAAAGCACTTCTCTTCAAGCCATTTTGAAAAATGATGTGATGCGTTAACGAACTTTCTGTTGATCTTTAAGCTAAGGTTTTGAAAAATGCCAGCAATTGCTGTGATGCGCAATATTTCTGTTGAAGGCTCAATTCTAGGTGATCTAAAGCACTTCACTTCAAGCCATTTTGAAAAATGATGTGATGAACTTTATTTTGAACTTTAAGCTTAGGTTTTGAAAAATGCCAGCAATTGCTGTGTACGCAATATTTCTGATGAAGACCCAATTTTAGCTGATCATTTTCTGTTGAAGATTCTCAGCAAGCACAATTGATAAATTCTCTTATCATTTTGGAAATTGACAACAATGCCTCAAGTCTAAAGCTGAAAAGTTTCATAACAACGCAAAATGCTTAAACAAGCCTAGATTTTGCAACATTACTTGTTGCTGCATATTTTCTAGACATCTTCACATATATGTTGAAAGTATATTTTTGAATATGAATAATTTGCCACTTTCCACTAGGTGAACTGTAATCATAACTGTTTTGTAAAGCTGAAATTAAGCTAAATACTTTGTATAGTACTACTGTAACAGTTGAAACACATGGGCCTAATTCTTAAAAACTGAATTTAATATCCTTTTGGTATACAAGCCATTTAAATGATTTGATTTTAGTTACTAAGCTGGCAGATCTGTCAGGTCAGTTAAATCTAAATAAGACCAAGCTTTCGTTCGGTTTTTTTAAATCAGCTTTTATTTTCAATATAGCCACTTCATTTAGGGTCTAACGCCAGTCTTTGTGAATGTTTGTCAAATTAATATTTTGACCCTACTCAATGTAACCTATCAAATGTCTGCCCTCTCCAAAGTTGACGATTTGTGAGGCGGTGTTTAGCAGGTCAGGTCAAAAGGTTAATTTGACAAATGTTCAAGAGCGCTGTCGTTAGACCCTAACTGAAGTGGCAATATCAAAAATAAAAGCTAATAAAAAAATTACCCATGTTGAGTTTTTGAGTTATTGACTCTAGAAAGGCCATTGAATGTCTTTACATCATTATATAAGTGATAAAAATGATTTACCTTTCCAATTTTTACAATGAAACAAGTATATATGAATAAGAAACAAAAGAATAAGTCATAAGGAAAATTTGGAGCTTTTGTCAAAATTTGAAAATAAAAATCCTTAACTCTTAGAATCAGCGCCAAGAGAATTTCACACTGGACCAATAATAAACCTTGGAATTTAAACTGATAGAAATGGACCGTTGGCTCCTTGGCTCCATTTGCATGAAAGTTGCATTCGAAACTTATGACCTCTATTGTTGATCATTATGATGCGAGAGAAACTTAAAGACTTGTGTCATTGTAATTTTTGACAGATAACTTTTCCCACCTTCAGTACATTTAGATTGTGACTTACAATAAATTTGATTGTGACTTACAATACAATTTGATTGTGACTTACTAACTTACAATACAATTTGGTTGTAACTTACAATACAATTTGATTGTCACTTACTGACTTACAATACAATTTGGTTGTAACTTACAATACAATTTGATTGTGACTCACAATACAATTTGATTATCACTTACAATACAATTTGATTATCACTTACAATACAATTTGGTTGTAACTTACAATACAATTTGATTGTGACTCACAATACAATTTGATTGTGACTTACAATACAATTTGATTGTGACTTACAATACAATTTGATTGTGACTTACAATACAATTTGGTTGTAACTTACAATAAATTTGATTGTGACTTACAATACAATTTGATTGTGACTTACAATAAAATTTGGTTGTAACTTAAAATAAATTTGATTGTAACTTACAATACACATTGTAACTTACAAATATACATTTTGACTTACAATGCAATTTTGATTGTAAGAACTGGGTACAAGTTTTGTCATTCTGCAAGATCTAATGGTCCGATGTAGATAATTTCCTGATTTTGCCATTTTTATTTTCTGGATATTCTCTTTGGTAGTTTTCTTTACAAAACCTGACATATACCTGGATAGTTTACAGAATGAATTTTACAGATTTTAAACACAAGCTCCAAATTTTCAAAACAAGTTTACTGCAGACATAGCAGCTAATCTCCACGTAGTAATAATTCATGAACAATTAATATAAATATTGTATACAAACTATATACAATTCTTTGAGCACTTTAGTTTAAAGTGATCCCATAAACAGGGAAAATAAAAGTTCATTTTGATCTTTGGCAGTCATAAATGAGATTTTGTCATTCAAAAGTCGATTTCAAAATCTCTCTAAGTCTTTGCAAGCCAACTTTTATTTGATTCCAGTCCACCAAAAGCTGTAAGTGATTCCAGACCACAAAAAATTCCAAAAGATCCAAAAATGAACTGAATCACTTCATTTTAACAAGACAACAAGTATCTTTTATGAATTTGAATGAAATAAAGTCATTAACAGTCAGAATGGGCTACAGGAGAAGGAGGAGGAGGGTAAGGGTTAAAATAACTTTTTTCCGTTGACGGTGAAGGGGGACAACTCATTTCATCTGAGAAATAATGGCTGCGTGGAGTTGGCGGAGGTGGGTAGGGATCAGAATCGTAACTAAGTTCGACCACCGAGTGGAAAATAGTACCCGGATACGGTTCACTGTCTTCACACACGTCTGTACTACACGGGGTTGTATGAGGAGGAGGAATGTTATATCGCACTTTTTTCTTTTTTGGACGGCTTGAACGCACTGTAGATAGACTATTTATAGAACAGTATAAGTCTCCTGTGTACATAGAACGATCTGTCACAGGGCTTGGGGGAGGATTTAATGTTTCTTTAGGATATTGAGTCACTGTGGAACTACTTGACGATGCCCCAGTCACATGATTTCTATCATATAGTTGTGATCCACTCCCCGAGCCGATGGACACAGTTGTTGTTAATATCAATGATTTATTGCCCCGGGATGAAAAAGTGTGAGGCGTTGTTTGTGAGTCTGAATGTGGATTTAAAGGCTTTTTGACCATCATAATATCAGGGTCATCTACCGGAGAATGATGACTCCTGCGCCTACAGATAAACACTACAGCTATAACAAGAACTAAAAACACTACCCCCACCACAATACCTATTGCATATTGAGTCGTATTAGATGTTGAAGTTGAGTTACTACGCTCACTAAAAGGCAGATTTTTATCATCACATTTCCCATCCTTTGTAATACACTGATGATTTGTACAGCGGTACTCGTTAGGTTTACAACAACTACTTTCATCACTACCGTCTGCGCAATCATTTTTACCGTCGCACTCGAATTTAGAATCAATGCACTTTCTGTCTGTACACTGAAACTCGCTACTTGAACAATTCGGACAATTCTCCTCATCTGATTGGTCCTGACATTCACCCAACTTATCACACCTCCACACTAGCGGGATACACCTCACATCTCCTTTCAAGCATGTGAACTCATTTGGGGCACAAGTAGGTGGGTATGCACATGTCACTTCATCTTGTTTCAATTCCAGATTGACAGGGCAAGAACACCTAGCGCCACCTTCACTGGTTGCTAGGCAAATATGAGAGCAGCCATGATTATTGATTGAACATGAATGGTTTGTGGCGGGAAGTGAATGTTCAACTGTTATTAGATCACTAAGACCGATCACGTACCGCCGTACGTGTATGCGATGTTTACGTGTATTTTTTTCTATCCTTTCAATAACTTGCTGATCTCGATCCAACCAATATAAGAAGTTTCCATAAATGGCCAATCCTCTGGGTGCATGTATGCCTTCATCCACTACCACAACCCTGTTTCCACCCCCAAGATCTGAGCATTCTATATGTTTTAATGCGCTATCAGCCCAACACAACTTGTTAGAATGTTTGTCTATGGTTAGAGCAAGTGGATGTTCCAGATTGGTCTCAAACAGCGTAGTTTTTTCTGTTCCATCCATGGCTGCTTTTTCTATCTTTGGTGAACTGACCATGTTTGTCCAATACATTAAACTGAAAGTAGATCAAATATCATATTTGCGTATGCCATATAATTGGTCTTATTAAAGGGATTGTAAAGAGGTTTTCTAAATTTTGTATGCGTATTGGGGACACTTATAGCGTCAATTTGCACTATTCCAATTTTCGACGTTTGGTTCCTGTAATTCCACCAAAACTAAGTGATGATGTCACCAATCACAAAAAAGCCTTTAACATAAGGCCCTTCATGATTAGAAACGTTTTTAAACACTTTGTTTTAATGGAATTGCAGGAATCGCAGATTGAAAATCTTTGGCATCCTCTACTTGCCTGACAAACTTTACCAAGTAACTAAGTACCACTTACCCTTTCTCTGGATAGAGTGCTATAGATCTAGGTTTCATACCACCTGATGGTACCACCACACCGATTGGTGTAGAGTCCAACCGACTAACGTTGATTACATTATTTTTATTACAGGTCCAATATATAGATCGTGAGAATGGATCTATTGCTATATCAAATGGACTGATTCCTTCTTCATTCACTACCACTGTCACCTAACGATACAGAAAAGTTAAAAGATTTTAAAAACAAAATACAGCGTTAAATATTCCGGCCCTAATTTCTTAAAAACCCTTACATAGACTTGAAAATTATTGTAATTCTATACATTTATCAGATTTCGTTTTGCTTTTTTCTTTCTTCATACAAGAAGTTGGTTAAGACAACCTAACTGTTCTGTGATCCTTTTGATATCTTCGTGAATAAATATTGTTTTAAAAAGATAGCTTGCCAGGCAAGGTAATATACGTCCACTGATAGCTTTGTTTGAAATTGAATATTTGTTAGAAAATAGCAAACATAGACACCAGGAAATATTCAACTTATACCCAAATCCATCACAAACTGTGCCATCACAAG